AGCAGGGAGATTACACATGTACAGGGACGTGCGTGGAAAGGGCTGGGGTTTTCCACAAACCCTAAATCAGGGTTTTGAGTCGGACAGGTGACGCAAATCGCCAGTGCATGCGCTCTAACTCGGAGCTAATTTAAATTCTTTTTGTTTCCACTTTTTCGCTGCTGCTGCTGCTGCTGCTGCTGCTGCTGGGCGGCAGCAGCAGCAGCAGCAGCAAAAGGAGGAGAGGAGGCTCAAAAGGACTAATTGAAACAAAATAAAATAGAAAAAAGAAAAAGAAAAAGAATCCAACAGATGTATTTATTTATCCCAGAACTGCTGCTGCAGCAGCAAAGCTTGTAAACCCCAGCAGCAGCAAATTGGAAAAACGCATTTAAGGGCTTTGCTGCTGCTGCTGCTGCTCCTGCAGTTGAAGTGTACAGACACCCCAGAAACCCCACAACCAGCTGCAGGCCCAAGAGGGCCTCGGCGGCCTTGGAAAGGAACTCGGAGGCTAGGGTTTACGGTTTAGGGTTTAGGGTTTAGGGTTTAGGGTTTGGGGGTGGGGGCGGGACAAAGGGCCTGGGGGTGAGGGTTTAGGGGCAAAAAATAAGAGAAGAACCCGCTGTGGGCGCGCAGCAGCAGCAGCAGCAACAGCAGCAGCAGCAGCAGCAGGGACGGGTGCTGCAGCAGCAGCTGCTGCTGCTGAGAGTTGGGGTTTTGAGGCAGCAAAAAAGAAGACCGAGTGAACACGCAGCTGCCGCTTTTTTTGTTTTGCTGCTGCCACTCAAAACCACAAACCCTAAACCCTAATTACAACCCCCCCAAATCACCACCAGCATCCAGCCCCGTCTCGCCCCCAAACCCTAAACCCTAAACCCTAAACCCTAAACCCTAGTGGCGCGTTGCTGCAGAACTTTCAGCTTGCGAATATCCAGCCAAAGTCACGCAGACAAGGAGGGAAGCTGAGGGTTTAGGGTTTAGGGCTTAGGGTTACCGCGCTGCGGCTCAGGGCCTAGGGTTTGGGGGCTCGCGGTCTTTGCCGAGGGTTTAGGGTTTATTTTATTAGTTTTTTGCATTTCAGACTTTTGCTGCTCAAGCTTTGCTGCTGCTGCTGCTGCTGCTGCTGGGGTCTAGAACTTGGAGCCAACGCCGCCGCTGCTGCTTCGTCGCCGCATTCCCCAACTAAACCCTAAACCCTAAACCCTAAACCCTCATTTCTTGGCTTCAGCAGCCTCCCCAGCCGCCATGCATTTGCCCTTTCTGTTTAGAATATAAAACCCTAGAAGCCAGGGGGTTTGCTGACCCGCGAATGCCCAATGCAGGGTTTAGGGTTTAGGGTTTAGGGTTTAGGGTTTAGGGTTTAGGGTTTAGGGTTTAG